ATGCCCAGCCAGCATCCTGCATTTTTATTTGCTAAATTGGGCAAGCCTATTGCAGTGAGTTGTCTGGCTCTGGTAATGAACCTGCCTCATTCTTCTGCAATCAACGATGCTCATGTGTTAGAAGATGTGGCCAGGGCTTGAGAAGGAGCAGAATAAAAACTTACCTGTTAGGCTCTGCAATGACTGAGACAATCAGACAGTCTGAGCCTAATAATCCTTAAAACAAAAATAGCACTTAAGTACCAAGCACTATGCTATGAGCCTTTCATCATGATTTTATTTAATTCTCACAGTCCTATGACTAGGCCCAGTAGTAGTATTACTATTTTACAGATGGGAAAACTGAGGCTAGGAAAAGCTTAGTGATTGGTCTAAGGCAGGATTTCTCAACTGTAGCACTATCAGTATTTGGGGCAAATAATTCTTTAAACAATTTATTTTTATTTTATTTTTTGAGACAGGGTCCCACTCTGTCACCCAGGCTGGAGTGCAGTGGCATGATCATGGCTCACTGGTTAATTTTTGTATTTTTTGTAGAGATGGAGTTTCATCATTTTTCCCAGGCTGGTCTTGAACTCATGGGCTGAAGTGTGATCTGCCCGCCTTGGCCTCCCAAAGCCGAGGCGGGCAGATCACAATTCAGGAATAGTGAGCCACTGTGCCCAGATAATTCTTTGCTGTGAGGTCTGTCCCATGCATTTTAGGATGTGTAGCAGATGCCCTGGCCTTTATCTTGAGGAAGATAGGTGATAAACAAGAAAAGTAAGTAAAATATAAAGCATATTAGAGAGTGATAGGTTAAAAAAAAAAAAGGAGAAAAAAATAAAGCTAGGAAGAGAGGATATGAGGGGTTGCCATGGATACTTGAAGTTTTAAATGGGGTGGCCAGGAAAAAAAAAACCTCATTAACAAGGCGATCTTGGAGTGAGGGAGCTGCAGACATCGTGGAGAAGAGTATCTCAGGCAAGGGAATAGCAGGTGCAAATGCCTGCAGGCAGGGATTTTTCTATCTCTTTGAGGACTGTTCTGCAGTCACTGGAATGGAGTGAGTGAAGGGGAGGCGGGTAGTAGGAGGTGATTTCCAAAAGGTGGTAGGAGGTAGGGTGATCATATAATTTGTAATCCAAATGGGGCTAAGGGGTCACTGTTAAAATTATGCTAGGACAACAGATATAAACTTGGATTATCCCAGGCCAGGAATGCTGGGTTAGCAAGGATTTAGTCACTACTGAGTGACTTAGCTTAGGGCAAGCTGCAACATGACCTGACTCGAGACCTCTGTTCTGATTACTCTGTTGAAAGGGACTCAAGGGCAGCAAGGCTGACGTAGGGAGAGTAGCTGGGACGGGGGCCATCAGAACACCCCAGGTGAGAGAGGATGGAGGCATAGATCAGGGCAATGGCAGAGGGGCCCTGAAAACTGGTCCAATTCTGGATATAATTTGAAGATAGAAGCAAAAGGATTTCTGACCCATACTAGGCTATGGGTGTGAGAGAAAGACAGGAATAAAGATGTCACCAGCAGAAAATGGGAAGCGGAAGAGATTTGGGAGGAAGATCATGTGCAGGTTAAGTTCACAGGAAGCAGACCCAGATGAAATGAGCATGCGGGAGGTTTGCTGGCCAGGGCTCTCGTGATCAACACCTGAGAGAGAAACAGAGCAAGAAGTCTGTGACGGAGGAAGTTGCTGGGTAGCTACTTGGTCTCAACAGGGGACTCAGCCAACCCCATGGGGGAGCTCTGAAGTTGGGCAGGCCCTTCAGAGTTACTCCAATGGGGCAAGTCAGGCAGGACTCATGCTTGACCTTCTAACTGACTGTTGCTGGGTGGAGGTGGTTCTGGGAAGGGTTAGACCTCCAGCAAGGTGGTTCTCCTCTGTGCAAGTCAAACTCTGGAGTGGGGCTGGGTTGGGCTGTCAGTCACCAACACTCTTAACAACTGGGGGAAAGGGTACCTTGGTCTCAGAGAATTTGGGTTAACAGCTGGGGGAAAGGGTACCTTGGTCTCAGAGAATTTGGGTAGGCCGGGCGCGGTGGCTCAAGCCTGTAATCCCAGCACTTTGGGAGGCCGAGGCGGGTGGATCACGAGGTCAAGAGATCGAGACCATCCTGGTCAACACGGTGAAACCCCGTCTCTACTAAAAATACAAAAAATTAGCTGGGCATGGTGGCACGTGCCTGTAATCCCAGCTACTCAGGAGGCTGAGGCAGGAGAATTGCCTGAACCCAGGAGGCGGAAGTTGCGGTGAGCCGAGATTGAGCCACTCCAGCCTGGGTAACAAGAGCGAAACTCCGACTCAAAAAAAAAAAAGAATTTGGGTAGTGACTACAGCATCCATTGTAGACCAGGTGCTCAGTTTTGTACCTAGGAAGTTTGAGACAGCCCCTAGATAGTCAAGTGGGGATGCTAAGTGACTCTTGTCCCTTTCCTGCTGACTCCAGGGGCCAGCACAGCCTCTTAGCTCCTTCAAGTTCGCTTGCAACCTTTACTCTTTCCTAGCTCAGTTGAACCTCCAGAGCAGCATATTCCATAGAAATACAGTCCCAGGCACACATCTAACTTCTTCTTATTATTTTTAAGATAAGTCTTGTTCTGTCATCCAGGCTGAGTGCAGTGGCATGATTATGGCTCACTGCAGCCTCGAACTCCTGGGCTCAAGGGATTCTCCCACCTCAGCCTCCCGAGTAGCTAGAACCACAAGCATGTGCACCATGCCAGACTAAGTTTTTTATTTTTGTAGAAATGGGGGTCTTGCTATGTTGCCCAGGCTGGTTTTGAACTCCTGGACTCAAGTGATCCTCTAGCCTTCATTTCCCAAAGTGGTAGGATTGCAGGCGTGAGCTACCATGCCCAGCCATACATTTCTAACTTAAAGTGGTATTGTATTCACACTTTAAAAGTTCAAAGAAATGGGTGAAATTTAATGATGTATTTCTCTTTTTTTTTTTTTTTTGAGACAAAGTCTTGCTCTGTCACCAGGCTGGAGTGCAGTGGCATGAACTTGGCTCACTGTAGCCTCTGCCCCCTAGGTTCAAGCTATTCTCATGCCTCAGCCTCCCAAGTAGCTGGGATTACAGGCATGAGTCACTCTGTACACCTAATTTTTGTGTTTTTGGTAGAGATGGGGTTTTGTCATGTTGGCCAGGCTGGTCTTGAACTCTTGGCCTCAAGTGATCTGCCTGCCTCGGCCTTCCAAAGTGCTAGGCTTATAGGCCTAAGCCAGCCTGCTCAGCCTAATAATGTATTTCATTTAACAGAATATAGCCAACATATTATCATGTTAACATGTAATGAATATGAAAAATCATTAAGGAGATAGTTGACTCTTTTTCACGCTTAGTTTTGAAATTTTGGTATGTGTTTACAGCACATTTCAATTTGGATAAGTCATATTTCAAGAGCTCAAGAGTCACCTGTGGCTAGAGGCTACCATATCAGACAGCACGGTAGGTTCTTCAACCTGCCACCTCTCTCCATTGGCTCCTGACTTTCGAACTCAGCATTCTCAGTTCCAGCATCACCTCTATTGGGAGATTCCCAAGGTTGCAGGGCCTGCTTTCTATTGATATTCTCACACTGGGTAGTGGCTGTTTGTCTACTTTGTCCACCTGCCCCGTAAAAGGCCATGTGCTCTATTCAGCATAGGAACCCCATGCCCAGCACAGTGTTGGGCACAGAGTAGGTGTTCAGTGATCTTTATCTTGAGGAAATTATAACAATACTCTATTTGTATATAATTTGAAGGGTGAGAGGGGCTCACAGGGGCACAGATTCTTTCTTCATTTCAGGACTTCCAACAATATCAACAATATCAATGGAAAGTTCTAGGTATTTCTTTATTAGCTGAACCTGAAACAAGTTGCCCTGGGTGACATGAAGAGGATTTACCCAAGAGAAACACACTGAACAGGCCCATGCACAACGCGTTATCACTTCCTTTCTGTTGTTCTCCTTTCCCATTGTTCTTGCATTTTCCGTTTCTTTGACAGCAGCCAATAAATTAAACATCTATAAAGGGCATCCATAAAAACAAGTCACAAAATGTGGACTCAATGGCAACAACACAGAATTCATGCAGTGAAAAATAAAAAGAGAGAGAGGTTGGGGGTCTTTCTAGGCTTCCCAAGCACACTCATCTCCTGGCCTTAGGGCGTGGACCATGTGCCTGAGTAGGTCCCTAGAAAGCTGCAGGAGGAGTGGCCTGATCGTCTCCCTCTGGAATGTGCTGCAATCCCGTTTGGCAGTGATGGCTTCTTTGCCTTGTTAAATGTTTGAACTGTTATATATGCTTTTTTTTTTTCATTTTCTTTGGAAAAAGAAAGATAAAATTAGGCAAAAATGCTTACGCCAAACAATAGGCTGGACACAATAGCCTGTAATTCTAGCACTTTGAGAGGCCAAGGCAGGTGGATTGTTTAGGCCTTGGAGTTCAAGACCAGCTCGGGCTACATGGCAAAACCCTGTTTCTACAAAAAATAAAAAATTAGCCAGGTGTGGTGGCGGGCACCTGTAGGTAGTCCCAGCTACTCAAGAGGCTGAGGTGGGAGGATTGCCTGAGCCCAGGAGGTCAAGGCTGCAGTGAACTGAGATCTGCCTGGGTGACAGAGTGAGGCCCTGTCTCAAAAAAAAAGAAAAAAAAAAAAAGGAAGCTTCCATTTTCTGATTATCTTTGAATGTTTATCTTTTATGTTTTACTTTTCATTGTGAATAATTGTGAACACAGACAAAAGTGGAAAGTGGAGAATACAGTACAATGAACCCTCAGTTACTTATTACTGAACTTTAACAATTACCAACTCATGGCCAAACTTAAAAAAATCTTTTGTCTTTAGATTTATTTATTTATGAGATGGGCTCTCACTCTATCACCCAGGCTGGAGTGCAGTGGTATGATCTTGGCTCCCTGCAACCTCCCCCTCCTGGGCTCAAGCGATCCTTTCACCTCAGCCTCTTGAGTAGGCAGGACCGCCTTTATACTATCCACTGGTTCATCCTGCAACATGATTTTAATAAAGTGTTACTTATTTTCGAGCAATTTCTATGCAGAGAGAGATCAACAAGAGTGCTTGTAAAGTAGCTAGTCTCATAAGTCAAGAGTTATCATCTTTGGTCCAATGCTCAATCCATTTCAAGATCTGATCTATATTATTTTCTAGCTCTTATGGTTTATTGCTGGGTAGTTGATGCACAATTTCTTCCTTGCAGGATGCTGCGACTTATTAATAAATAACTTGAAAAATCTTACACTGAATGTAGTCTGTTAGTTTCATCTCACTATAACCTCTTGCTTCAAGTCTTTCACACAATATATTGGTATCTGTTCTCAGCACAAAAACTTTAATATATGAAACCAGTGTTCAGGGAAGAAGTCACCAACATGGTAATAAACAATAATTTACCTGTAAAAATAATCTACCTTCTCTCATTTGGTTATCTAACTCATCAACTACTCTTTATCTTCATCTAAAGTGGGATAATCATACTCTTCATTATAGCCATCATACAACTGCTTTTTTTGAGCTAAATCACCCACATTAATGTTGTATTTCAGTCCTGATTTTTTTTCTTTTTTTGAGATAGAGTCTCACTCTGTCCTCCAGGCTGGAGTGCAGTGGTGCCATCTCAGCTCACTGCAACCTCTGCCTCTTGGGTTCAAGTGATTCTTCTGCCTCAGCCTCCTGAGTGGCTGGGACTACTGGCATGTGCCACCATGCCTGGCTAATTTTTGTATTTTTAGTAGAAATGGAGTTTCTCCATGTTGACCAGGCTGGTCTTGAACTCCCGACCTCAAGTGATCTGCCTGCCTCAGCCTCTCAAACTGCTGGAATTACAGGCATGAGCCATCGCACCCAGCCTCAGTCCTGATTTTGGTGCGAGTTTTTGTGTAGTGTGTTTTTCCAATCCCTGGTTTACAGGTGAGCAGGATGTTCAGAAGCAACATGGTTCCTCACTGTGATGGCTCTGAGCACCTTGCTCATGTACCCTACCCTACACACTAACCAAGCTTTTTCATCTATCTTTCACCCACTCCCCCCCATCCCATTTTATTTTGTAACCAATTCCAGACATCGTATGATCACATCTGTAAATATTTGGTTGTACATCTGAAAACGTTTTTTTTTTTTTCTTAGAAGAATGCTTTTTTGGCTTCTTTTACTACTGTTTTTTTGGTGAGATCAGAATTGCAAGTCAGGTCTCTAGGCTGAATGTTATGGCAAACTCTTATGTATTTAAACGGATGGCTTGTTAATGACATAAGCAACCAGAGTTGCTATTAGCTCTTAATTTATGAAGCCACATGTTCAGCTTGTATGACGGATGTCATTAACATCAGGCGTGGCAGGCTCATTCATGTGTCTCTGCCCAGCACTCTGCAGTCCTGAATGCACTCAACAGATGGGGAATTTCATGGCCACAAATGGAATTGTTTATCCTCTCATTGTTCCCGTGTCAGCAATCAAACTAAATCCATTACCCACCAATAAAAAGATCAGCCTGCTGCTGCCAGTTTAGCTGTGGAAGGGGCCGAAGCTATGTTGAAGGGATTTAGAGTTTTAGAAGAGATAAAAAAGTAATAAGAAGCCACATAAAAATTAAGATCCCAGAGAAGAGTTTCAGTCTTTTATTCTAAAGCTGAAGGCTTTAGGGGATTTAAAAGGGAAGGTCTAGTAATTCAATATTTTCTTTAACATAAAATATACTCGAGAGACCCCTGATTATAGATAGTGCATAGCTTTTATTGTGTGTTGATGGCTTTATCGTCTCATTTCAAAAAATCACAAGCACTCCAACTAGGATTTGAAGAAGGAGGAAATGTCAGATTCATAATGGAAAAGCTGCTAAGATGTTAATAGCGTTAATACTGGTAGGAAGATTTTCTTTTGTGTAGATAAATAGTTGTCTGTTCTTATAAAGTTGTTCCTCTTTGGTTTAGCTAGTGGGTTCTCTGTACACTGATTTGTAAAAGGAGGTTGCTCAGTTCTGCGGATCCCCCAGGCTGCCCTCCCAACATTCTCAACGGACTATGAACCATAAATTCTTATTTATTTATTTGAGACAGGGTCTCACTCTGTCACTCAGGCTGAAGAGCAGTGGCACAATCATGGCTCACTGCAGCTCCAACCTCCCAGGCTTAAGCAGTCCTCCCACCTCAGCTCACTGAGTAACTGGGACAACAGGCATGTGCCACCGCATCTAGCTAATTTTTAAATTTTTTGTAGAGACAGGGTCTCATTATGTTTCCCAGGCTGGTCTTGAACTCCTGGCCTCAAGCCATCCTCCTGCCTTGACCTCCCTAAGTACTGGGATTACAGGCTTTAGGCCCTGGGCCTGGCCTTACCATGACTTTTAAATGTGGGGGCCGGGCACAGTGGCTCATTCCCATAATCCCAGCACTTTGGGAGGCTGAGGCAGGCGGATCACCTGAGGTTGGGAATTCAAGACCAGGCTGACCAACATGATGAAACCCCATCTCTACTAAAATACAAAATTAACCGGGTGTGGTGGTGCATCCCTGTAATCCCAGCTACTCAGGAGGCTGAGGCAGGAGACAGGAGAATCGCTTGAACCTGAGAGGTGGAGGTTGCGGTGAGCCAAGATCACACCACTGCACTCCAGCCTGGGCAACAAGAGCAAAACTCCATCTCAAATGAAAGAAAAGTGGACCCTGGCTGCTTTTTGCCAGATGGATTTTATATCAGGATGTAACAGGCAAGAGACCTTGGTGTCACCATTCACTGGTTATAGCTGAGTATCTGGAAAATGCAGGTTTCACATTTATTTACTCAGAAAAGTTAGAGACTTTGGCCAATGAAAAATCAGATTGTCTGTGAAAAAAAAATATCAGACTGGTTGTGCTGTTCTCTTTTTCATTCTATTCTGCAAATACTTATTGATAGTGTTCTGCTGTGTATGGCAGCTGTTACACTAGGTGATAAGGATCTGAGATGTTTAAGACAGTCTTTTACCCTCTCTTAATAGATTAGAAGGGGAGACAGACAGAAACACAGAGCTTGCACACAGACTAAGGTGTGTTTACAGCCCAGAACAGTAAGCGGAAGCCTGCAGAGGATGTTCTGAGAGCTCAGAGGAGACCTCAAATTAGGGTTCCCTGACTTCCCTGGAGAGAAGGGTGGTGGAGAGGTGACAGGGCTAAGGAGTGAAGAATGGGCATGAGGTTTGGAAGGTTATTTCAGGCACAGGGAATAGCCTGAACAAAGCTATGGAGGCCTCAGATGGTTCCTGAGGGTGTGTGAAGTTGGGGAAACAGGAGGCTGGAAAGGGAGGAAGAGGCTAGACTATGTTGGCCCTGTCTGTTTGATGGGCCATGTAACTTCTCTATTTTTTTTTTTAAGATGGAGTTTTGCTCTTGTCGCCCAGGCTGGAGGGCAGTGGTGTGATCTCAGCTCACTGCAACTTCTGCCTCCCGGGTTCAAGCAATTCTCCTGCCTCAGCCTCCCAAGTACCTGGGATTATAGGTACCTGCCACCATGCCTGGCTAATTTTTTGTATTTTTAGTAGATATGGGGTTTTGCCATGTTGGGCAGGCTGGTCTCGAACTCCTGACCTCAGGTGATCCGCCTGCCTTGGCCTCCCAACGTGCTGGCATTACAGGTGTGAGCCACTGTGCCTGGCCATGTACCTTCTCTTAAAGTCCATGAAAAGCCACTGAAAAAATTTTCAGTATGTAAAAGTCACGGTCAGACAGTTATCTTTTATCAAAACCCTCCTAGATGCAGGGTGGAGAACGAATTGCAGAGGGTTAAGAAATGGAAGCAAGGAAACCGTTAGGAAGCCAATTGGAGTAATCCAGGTGAGAAGTGGAAGGCCTGAATCAAGGGGCATGTGTGTGTGTCTGTGTGTTTGGGGTGGAGAGGAAGGTGTGATAATAACTCATAAGGTTGTTGAAATGACAACACTGAAAAATATGTAAAGTACTTAGAATAGAACTTGTGTAATTTTTACTGAATCAATGTTAACTCACATTTCTCTTTTTCCTATTTGGGACTGTCTTCGTCAGCTTGGACTGCTATAACAAACTAACATAACCCGGGTTGCTTACCATCCATTTCTTACGGTTTTGGAGGCTAGGAATTCCAAAGCTGATTTGGTTCAAATCCTCCCAGCTGATTTGGTTCCTGGTGAGGGCTCTCTTCCTTGTCGGTAGGCACCCAACTTCTTGCTATGTGTTCATGTGGCAGAGACACATGATCCCCTTATTTCCTTTGTAAGGGCACTAATCTCACCATGGGGGCCCCACTTTCACAACCTCATCTAAACCTAATCACCCCCAAAGGCCCCACTTCCTAACGCCATCACATTATACGGGTTTGGGCTTCAACATATGATTTTTTTGGAGGACACAGATGTGCAGTTCATAGCAGGGACTGAGTAAATACCAGTGGTAATAGCATAGCAGAATGGAAAAACAGGAAGAGGAGTAAATGGAGGGGTATGAGGAGCCAGGAGAGAAAAAGGTCATAATGAGGAGGGGACAGCATCTCTCCACAACATCTCCTGGAGTCTCTGCCCTGTGGGAAGAAGGGGAGGTGGGCTTGGTGTTGGAGGTCTTGTGAGATGGTGGAAGTTTTGGGAACATTGAAGTCACAGCTTCCCTGGGCAGTAGCTGTAACTGAGCTTGACTATTTCATGGAGCTGTGGGTGAACAGTTTGCTGTTCTTTCTGGATGATCAGTTTCTGCCAGCTTTTCTGTTTTGATATTCCATGATATGACACTGTCTTTCTTTATATTTAAGAGTTTTTAGTCATTATTGCCTGGCGCAATTGTGCAAACTGATCAGGATAATTACAGGCAGGTGGATGATTAGGTTTAAGGAACTCTTTCTACTTTCTGCTAGAAAGAATTATCTTCTACATAAGGTATGACAGACATTAGATCTGTCCAAGAAACCAGAACAATGGGTTCCTTTCTGCCTCCCTTCTTTCCTTCCACTCAGCCATTCAGTCAACAAATATTACTGAGTGCCTCTATATTGGCAAGGCATCTGACCACCTGGAGCTGCTGATGCTTCAGGAATCAAGCTATGAATATGTAGATCTGTTTACCCTGATGGACTGTGTGCTCCTTAAGGGATGGAACTGAGTCTTATTCATCTTTGTAGCCCCAGAATCTGGCACAGGAGTTGACACTGGGTGGTTGTGAAGAGCAAGATCTGTGTCTAGGTCCAAATCACTTCCTATCACTTCCTAGCACTGTAACCTTGGTCAAGTTATACAGCCTCTCTAAGACTTGGCATAATCATTTGTAAAACATAGGTAATAGTAATATCTGCCTCATCATAATATTATACCATTGCATTAGGGGTTAGGGTTTCAACTTAGGAATTTTGGGAGGACACAAACATGCAGTCCATAACAGGGACTGAGCAAATCTCTATGGTCATAGCATAGCTATGTTATGAGCATTAAATAACAGAACATGTAAAGCAGCTATAGTGTGTGGCACATAAAGTTTCAATCATATTATCAGTATTAGCTTTGCAATAAATGTAATTGAACTGATGTCCTAGGACCTAGTCAAACAATGCTGCTTTATATGTAAATTTGGGCAAGATATTTTGCCTCTTGGAGTCTCTGTTTTAAAAATGTTTATCTGTCAAACAGAAACACCTGCACAGGTACCAAACAGAATTATAATGAAAATGAAAAAGATTTCTTTGTTTCTTAATTACAAAAATAACCTAACTCCAGTAAATTATCTAAGCATAAATATCAGAGAGTAAGAAAAGCTAGTATATTACTATAACACTTTTAAAAGATGACACAAATTCCTTAATTTAATAAAGAGAATCTATAAAAGACCTATAGTTAATATCATACTGAGTGTGAAAATCTGAATGCTTTCCCCCTAGGACAGGGGACAGGACAAGGATATCTGCTCTCACCACTCTTATTCAACACAGTGCTGGAATATTATGCTAGTACAAAAATGCCAGGAAAGGAAATAAAAGGCATACATATTGGATACAAAGAAATAAAACTGTCCCTATTCACAGGTGACCTATTATAGAAAATCACAAGAAATCCACAATGAAACTTCTAGGATTAATAAGTAGTACAACAAGTTTGCAGGATACAAGATCAACATATAAAAATCAGTCACATTTCTGTATACTAACAATGAACATGTGGAAACCAAAATTCAAAGCACAATACCATTTACAATTGCTGTAAAGAAAATGAAATGGGTAGAAATGTAACAGAACATGTAGAGGATCTGTGTGCTGAAAAATTTAAAATGTTAATTAACTAAATCAAACAATGCCTAAATAAATGCAGAGATATACTGGATTCACAAATCCAGTATATTTGTGACTGGAAGAATCAACATACTAAAAATGTCAGCGCTCCCCAAATTATCAATAGGGTTAATGCAATTCCTATAAAATCCCAGCAAGAATATTATAAGGTTATCCTAAAATTTATATTGAAATGTGAACAACCTAGAATAGCTATAACAGTTTTGAAAAAGAAGGATAAGCTGGGCTACTTGGGAGACTGAGGCAGGAGAATCACTTGAACCCGGGAGGCAGAGGTTGCAATGAGCTGAGATCATGCCACTGCATTCCAGCCTGGGCAACAAGAGTGAAACTCTGTCTTAAAAAAAAGAAGAAGAAGAAAATAAAAGAAAAAGAAGGATAAAGGAGAGAAATCACTCTACCAATGTTAAGGATTACTATTTAGCTGTAGTAATCAAAACAGGGTGGTATTGGTGGAGACAGACACACGGAGCACTGAAATAGAACAGGGAACCTAGAAGCAGACACACACAAATATGCCCAACTGATTTTTGGCAAAGGTATAAAAACAATTCAGTGGAGGGAAGAGTAACCTTTCAACAAATGAACCCATGTTTCTAGAGATAGCCTAGGTGTACTCATGTGTGCATACACACACACACACACACACACACACCCCTAAGTCTCACACCTTATACAAAAATTAACTTGATGGTGGTGTGCGCCTGTAATCCCAGCTACTCAGGAGGCTGAGGCAGGAGAATTGCTTGAACCTGGGAGGCGGAGTTTGCAGTGAGCCGAGAT